TCAATCTGCAACCAAGTAAGTAATACAAGCTCTTGTGGCTTCCTAAAACGAATAATCTTGTTAAAATGTGAGTTATGACAAGCTGAGAAAAAAACTGTAAATTCTGGGTCAATATAGGGCCACCTCAAATTCCCTAGGAGCCCTAGTGATGCAGTGGCTAAGAGCTCTGCTGCTAGCCCAAAGGTCAGTGGTTTGCACCCACCATCAACTCTGGGGGAGAAAGATGTGGCAGCCTGCTTTCATAAAGATTGACAGCCTATGGGGCAGTTCTCTTCTGTCCTGCAGGATCACAGCGAGTTGGAATTGACTCAACAGCAATGGGTTTAGTTTTCACGTTCCCTTATTGGTATTACAGTAAAACCTGCAAAAGCCAGAACCCCTGTAAGGTGGAATTCTGTCAGAGAAGGAAAACTCAAAACTGAGGTAGGATTCTAATAGAGAGAGATAGTAAGCACCCTGTCAAAGGCAGAAAAACTTGCATACCCAGAAAAACAAGGCAGTTCATTCGAGTTCCAGCTCTCACAGGTTTCACTGTACCTAATTTCGACTTGTTTGTATTCTCTACCACCTTTACTCCTGATATTGAACTGTTGCCTCTACTTAAAGTTTGAGAGAATTCAAAAGTCAAAGTTTTTTAAAAAGTTGGATTTTGAAACATAAGCTACCCATATAATTCCCCAAAATTATATATTAACTTCCTATGGTAACTATGAGAAACACTGGTGGTGCAATAGTTAAGCGCTTGGCTGCTAATCAAAAGGTCGAGGTTCAAACTGCTTCAAGTGGAGAATGTCAAGATTTACTGCCTAGGAAACCCTAATGGGCACTTCTACTCTGTCCTATAGGGTCACTATGAAGGCACACAATAACAACATGTTAAATATTGTTTATATTGTTACAATTTTTAATATATAATATATTGTGACCATTTAACATAACTTTGTAGGTTACGTTGTTGTTGCTGCCATCAAAGCTAACTGAGCCAGGCTAGTCTTCCCAGGTGCCTCTGAGTGCATTCTAACTGCCAATCTCTCTGTTAGTAGTCTATCACTTAATAGTTTGCACTACCCAGGGTACATTGGTAATGTAGCCTTGAAAAAAAAAAAACCAAACACACTGCGTCGATTCCAACTCACAGAAACTCTATAGGGCAGAGTGGAACTGCCGCATAGGGTTTCCAAGTCTGTAAATCTTTATGGAAGCCGACTACCACACCTTTCTCCCACAGAGCAGCTGGTGGGTTTGAACTGCCAAACTTAGTTAGCAGATGAGCATTTTAACCACTGTGCCACCAAGGCTTCTATTCCATATGGATACTTGGTGGTTAATCATTAAAACCCTGGGGGATGAGCACCGGAGGGGAATGAAAAGATTCCTTATCAGGCTGTCTTTAGTTTGACTCTTTCTAAGACTATTTCTCTTAAGGCAATATGGTATAGTAAAAACAACTGAGTTAGGAATCTGGAAAACTGAGTTGTAATCTTGACTCTTTCACCAGCTACTGGTATGACCTTGAGCAGGTCATCTCACTCCCCTGCGTCTTATTTCTCTATGGGTAAAATGAGCAGACTGCTGAAAACCCTATGGAGTAGTTCTCCTCTAACACATGGGGTCGCTATGAGTCAGAATTAACTTGACAGCAAAGGGTTTGACTTTTTTGCTTTTGCTCTAAATCAGACGTTTTAAACCAGTGATTCATGAGCCAGATCCAGAAGTGGTTTCTGTTTGGTTTTGCTTTGGTGTGAAAAAGAACCCCATTGCCGTCAAGTTGATTCCAACTCATAGCGACCCTATAGGACAGAGCAGAACTGCCAAAGGGTTTCCAAGGAGCCGCTGGTGGATTTGAACTGCTGACCTTTTGGTTAGCAGCTGAGCTCTTAACCACTGTGCCACCAGGGCTCTGGTGTGAGGGGGAGCTAAATAATGACTAAATTTTGCATGTGAATTACCACTTCCTCTTCTGAAAAATCAGAGGCACTGGCAGTGCTGAGTCATATCCCCATATGGCAGCAACTGGCAATTTGGTTAGCAGCCAAGAGCTTAACCACTGTGCCACCAGGGCTCCTCAAGGTAGTCTTAGGCTATTGTAAATATTTAGAGTGACCGATCTGTTTTGATGATACAAATCGGGACAGCTTTAAAGAAATACAAATTACTGACCCCAGATACGGGCCATTCTGCTTCCATATGTCTTTGAAAATGCTTTCAAAGCTTGTTTTAGCAGCACATATTCTAAAATTAGACTGATAAAAGTGGACAAAGGACATGAACAGACAGTTCACAGAAAAAGAAATACAAATGGCCCTTAAAAATATTAAGACATTCACCCTTACTCATTGTAAGAAAAATTACACTGAAACATTTTCATCCATCAAATTGGCAAAAATACATTAACTAGGACAACATGCTCTGTGGGGGAAACTATGGGGAAAGAGGCACTCACATACACTGTTGGTGAGAGTAAAGATGGTACAAACGCAATGGAAGGCAACTGGTGATTTTTAAATGTACACTTACTAATGATTTACCCTTTACCTGGCAATCATACTTCTGGGAATTTATCCTACAGATATACCTGCACACGTTTGAAATGACATAGGTACAAGATTATTTACTGACACAGTTTGTATTACCAAAAAAATTGGAAACTTCAAGTTTTCATAAAGAGACTGGCTACAAAGAGAATAGCTAAATAAACCATATTATATCCACACAATGTAATACTATGTAACTATATAAAACAAAACAAAACAAAGAATGAGGAAGCTCTCTCTGTATGATGCAGAAAACACTCCTGGATAGAGGTTAAGTGAAAAAAGCAAGGTGTGGAAGAATGTATATAGCATGTCTTAGTTTCTTAGTGCTGCTGTAACAAATACCATAAGTCAGTGGTTTTAAAGAACAAAATTGATTTTCTCACAGTTCAGGAGGCTAGAAGTCTGAATTCAGGGCACCAGCTCTAGGGGAAGCCTTACTCTCTGTTAGCTTGGGGAAGATACTTGTCTCAACTTCTGTAACCCCAGCCTTCCTCAGTTCCTTGGTGATTTTCACATAGCATCTATCTTTCCCTGTTTGTGCTCTCTTCACTCTGTGTGTATGGTGCTCCTTAAATCACTCAGGAGGGATTAGGTTTAGGATGTACTGTACAATGATATGGCCTCATTAACATAACAAAGAAAATCCTATTCCCAAAAGGGATTACGTCCACAAGTATAAAACCAAACTAAACCAAACCCGTTGCCGTCCAGTGGATTCTAACTCATAGTGACCCTACAGGACAGAATAGAATGGCCTCATAGGGTTTCCCAGGACAAGTGGCTGGTAGACTCAAACTGTAGACCTTCTGGTTAGCAGACAAGATCTTTAGGATTCCAACACATGTCTTAGGGGGACACAATTCAGTCCATAACAATTTGCTACATTTTCTTTAAGAAAAGGGTAAAAATAAGACAATAAATTTGTATTTGATTGTATCTGCATAAATAAAGAGGACACTTGAGGGTGCAAGAGATTGTTAGTGCTTGCTCAACAAATATTCCCAACCTCAACTGAAGTTAGGTTGTAAGATCATGTGACTAATTCTGGCCAGTGGATCCTGAACAAAAGTGATACTTACAGGCTGAGGTAGTTAAGAGTCATGACCTTCTCTCTCTCTCTCTTCCCGTGTTGCAGTGACTTTGGAAGTGGTGGGCTCCAAATGGTATAGCTTCAAGATGGAACGGAGTTGCTCAAACTGCATAGGATTTTGCATAAATGAAAAATAAACCTTTATTGTGTTAAACTGAGGTTTCTTGGGGTCGTTTGTTGTAGCAGGTAGAGTTAATTATCCTAATAAAGAAATCAGTATTGCAAGTGGGATACTGCCAAAACAAAAACCTAGAATATACGACATTGGCTTGGCAGTGAGGCAATGGGCAGAAAGGTGTTAAATCAAAGAGCTCTTTGCTCAGCCAAAAATTTTCCTGAAGATTTGCACCTATGTTTTTCCTAAAAGTTTTATAGTCTTAAATCTTTTAAGTCTATGATCCATTTTGAGTTGATTTTTGTATAAGGTGTAAGACCTAGCTGGAGGTTCATTTTTTTGCCTAAGGGTGCCCACTTGCTCCAGCACCATTTGTTGCAAAGGCTATGCTTACTCCATTGAACTACTTTTGCACCTTTGTCAAAAATCAGTTGGTTCAACAAAACTGAAAACTGTTCTACTTCAAAAGATACCACTGAGAAAGTGAAAAGACAACTCAAAGAATGGGAAAAAATATTCACAAATCATATATTTGATAAGGGTCTAATATATAGAATATATAAAGAACTCTTACGACTTGTTGTGGATTAAATTGTGTCCCCCAAGAAAATGTGTGTCAACTTGGCTAGGCCATGATTCCCAGTATTGTGTGGTTGTCTTCCATTTTGTGATCTGATGTAATTATCTATGTGTTACAAATCCTAATCTCTATGATGTTAATGAGGCAGGATTAGAGGCAGTTATGTTAATAAGGAAGGACACAATCTACAAGATTAGGTTGTATCTTGAGTCAATCTCTTTTGAGATATAAGAGAGAGAAGTGAGCAGAGAGGAGAGGGACCCCATTGCTACCAAGCAAGAAGAGCCAGGAGCAAAGCATGTCCTTTGGACCCAGGGTCCCTGCACTGAGAAGCTCCTAGACCAGGTGAAGATTGATGACAAGGACCTTCCCCCTGACCTGATAGGAACTGGCGCCCTGAATTCAGACTGCTAGCCTCCTAGACTATGAGAGAATAAATTTGTTTGTTAAATCCATCCATTTGTGATATTTCTGTTATAGCAGCACTAGATAACTAAGACATGACTCAATTAGAAAAAGACAACCTAATGAAAATGGGTGCAGGATCTGAACAGACATTTCTCTAAGAAAGCTATACAAATGGTCAATATACATAAAAAGACACTGAACATCATTAGTCATCAGGGAAATGCAAATCAAAAGTAATGCATGTTAAATATAAAAATTTTAAAAACTTACTCATAATCCCACCACAAATAACCACAACTGTTAACACTTTGAATGTGCTTTTCTAATATTTTTGCTTGACAAACAAATGCACAGAAGTATTCCAAATAAGAGTTGAGACTGCAAGAAATGCTGTAGGAAAAATTTCCACATTCAGTGGAAAGCTGGACCAGACGTCTTTCAGGACTCTTACAAGGCAAAAATTTTCAGATTCGTTTTAGAGTATGTCATTCACTTTAATTATCCTTAGAACAACAGGTTCCATGTTATAGTGATAATTCAAGATTAAAAAAAAAAAAAAGATGCAGTACAGAACAATTCCAAAAACATTGAAAATACATTTCAATTTCACTTGAAATTTGCTATTTAAATGACATATCAATGATTCTAAAAAAATGCTAAAATAGAAGTCTTATTAGATCATGGTGAGATTCTTCTCAAGCTGCAGAACAGTTTTCTTTAAGGCAGGATTCTCCGCCCAGTTGGCTTTACTCCCCAAAAGGAGGTTCTGTAATTAAAAAAAAAAAAAAAATTAAGTTGTAAGTACTTTAAAAAATTTAACAATGATTTAAAAAAAACCTCTTTCACAGAATTTCAGTTTATGGTGATGGAAAAATTGTGTTGATTAAAGGTAGGATTGCATAGCTGATTAATGCAATTGCTGTCAGTAAGTTGTACAACTGTAAAAAGCTGGGTTGGCAAAAGTTGTGTAATAAATGTATTTAAAACAATGACAAAAAAAAGTAGCTGCTGAGGCTTCTCATGTATAACCAAATACCTCATGGGATTTGGTTTCTTGGCTTGGAAGATCAAGGTCATGGTTGCATGGGACATCCCAGTTACTTAGCCTAATAACAAATGTGTTTAGTGTTGCTGTTCTACCTCCTAGTTCATTGAGCAGTGCCTGGGGTCTTAAAAGCTTGCAAGCAGCCATCAAGACACAACAATTGGTCTCTAGTTGTCTGGAGCAAGAGGAAGGAGAGTCAGGAACAGGAGGAGGAAATGAAATGTGTGGCTAATTGCCTCCATGAACAACTGCCTTCTTTGCCATGAGACCAGAAGAACTGGATGGTGTCTGGCTACCATTACTGAACATTTTGATCAAAGATTCTATAGAAGAATCAAAAGGGGGAAAATGGAAAACAGAATTTAAAATTCCACGGATCCTGAATTTCTGGATCCATGGAGGTTGATGAACTCCTGAAACTACTGCCCTGAGATAATCTTTAAACCTTAAATCAAAAATATCTTCTAAAGTCATCTTAAAAGTAATCAGTAGCTTAGCTTGACTAGTAAATAATGTCTGCCTTGAGCATTGAGCTTTTTTTATTAATTGTATTTTAGATGAGGGTTTACAGAGTGAGTTAATTTCTCATTAAACAATTAATACACATACTGTTCTGTGACACTGGTTGCCACCCTCACAACATGTCAACAGTCTCCCCTTCTCAATCTTGGGTTCCCCATTACCAGCTCTTCCGGACCCTCCTGTCTTCTCGTCCTTGCCCCGGCTGGTGTGCCCATTTAGTCTTGTTTTGTTTTATGGGCCTGTCTAATCTTTGGCTGAAGGGTGTAGCACTGAGCTCTTTTAAGATCGGTCTATATGGGATCAAACTGACAACAGCAACTCAAAAGATTAGATAGGAAACTTATGGGGGCAGTGAGTTTATGTTGATGTGGAGGAACAACTCAGAGAAGGAAGGTGACAATGGCTGCACAACTAGAAGAATGTAATCAATGTAACTGAATTGTACATGTATAAACTGTTAAATTGGTATATGTTTTGCTGTGTATATTCTCAACAACAAAAAAAGTAAATTATAAAAAAAATTTAAGATTTAAAGAAACCTCTTTTACTGATCTCATCAGGTATTTATTGAACGTTTACTAGATGTGTAGCTCTGTGATCATGAGAAAACGGTAATAAACTCGTGTGTCTTCATTTCCACTATTAGTAAGGCTTCAGCCTTGACCCTCATAATGCTAGGTAATATTTAAATATTTACAATAATTTTTTATGCTTCATCAGTTTCTATGGATAGTTATGAGTCAAAATTGACTTAATGGCAATTTTTTTTTTTTTTTTAATTCTAGAAGAAAAGACTGTAGTTATAGTTCAGAGTTCATTTTACATTTCTATTGTGGAAAACAATAATTTTAGCTTTTAATAATACTCATTTTTTTTTTTTTTAATTGTACTTTAGGTGAAGGCTTACAGAACAAGTAGTTTCTCATGAAACAGTAGTATACATATTGTTTTATAACATTGGTTAACAACCCCACAACATGTCAACCCTCTAACTTCTCAACCTTTAGTTTTGGTGAAAATACACATAGCCAAAGATACACCGTTTCAAAAATTTCTACATGCACAGTTCAGTGACATTGACTACACTCTTCCAATTGTGCTGTTATTCTCACTCAAGATGAAGGCTTACAGAACAAAATAGTTTCTCATTTAACAGTTACTACACATGTTGCCCTATGACAATGGTTAACAATCTC